GAACCGATGTTAGCAAACGACAAACGCGGTTTTTTTCCCGAAGTGTGCATTCTGCAGCTGAATGGAATAGTGGGGGAGAGGCGTGGTAATCGGAGTGAGATCTGTATTGTAGTCAAGCGGACCGGTGAGTGCGCACCGAAGTGTGCCGCTGTTGACTACCACCAACTGCATTTGCGATTGTGTGGCCAATCTGCGCACCACATAGCACAACATCCGACCAACTAGACTGACCCTGCGCCTGCAACGGAGAGAGAAAGACAGAGGGCAGGGACAGAGCGGCAGAGGGAGGGACGAAGAAAAGAGTGAGAGGCGGAAAGGAACGGCCCACCTCCCCGCCCCCGCCAGTGCCCGAGGTTCACTCACCCAGTGTCCAATAGTTTCCCTTGCGCTCGCCGCCGCCCTCCCGGGGCACCTTCACGAAGCACTCGTTGAGGGACAGGTTGTGGCGGATGGAGTTCTGCCAGGCCTTCTTGTTCTTCTCGTAGTAGGGAAAGTTGTGCGTGATGTAGTTGTAGATCTCGGACAGCGTGGCGCGCTTCTGGCTCGACTTCTGTATAGCCATGGCGATGAGCGCCACGTACGAGTACGGCGGCTTGCTGTTGGGGTCCGAGCTCGACGAGGAGGAGCTGGGCGACGCGCGGCCGCCCGGCCCGGGGCTCGGCCCGGGGCCCGCCCCCGCGGGGGCGGCTGCCACGGCGGCGGCCGGCGACGCGGGCTCGCTGCTCGGCTGCGGCCGCTGCTGCTGGGGGTGCTGGCCGGCCGACGGGGAGGGGGACGCAGGCGCCACCTGTCGACTGTTTCAGTCAAGTTTAGTGTCAGAGAAAGTAGCAAAGAGCAGCCTGCTCGGCTAAAAAAAAACAAACAAAGAAAAGTGACAAAGAAACGCTTTTATCTCGTCTTCAGAAGTGCTCTGAAATGTATGGGGGAGGGGGGGGGACGGGTAGCACGAAGAGGCTCGTAAAGTCTTGCGCTGCAACAGCTGCACAGGGACGGAGGGGATGCAGACTTACCTGGACGGCACGTCCTTCGCGGGGCTCAGGCTCAGGCTGTCCGCGTAGAGCGTAGGCGAGGGCGCCGCTCGCAGCAAGCTGGAGATGTACGAGTGCTGGTGCGGGCTGGCGCTGCCGGAGTCGCCCGCCGACACGACGCCCTCGGGGCAGCAGTCGGCCTCGTCGCGAGCCTCGGCCCCGGGCAGCGGGACGGAAGGGAGGTCCTCGACGTGCTCCGTCTTGATGCTGGCCAGCGAGTACGTGACCGACGCCAGCGAGATCGGCGAGGGCGACGAGGCGGCGAGTGGGTGGCCGTGGTGCGACAGAGAATCCACGGTGTGGTGCGAGAAGCCACCTGCAACAGACAAGTCCGCCGAGGGTCAAGTGAGACCGTGGGTAAGACGAGACGACCGAGGCGCGCTAGTCCTCATCGCAGAGACCACAAGGTCTAGTAAGGACCCGATTAGTCTGAACCCCCCTTCCTCTCCCGTTTTACACAAAATCACCCCTCTGCCCCCGGCAAAATCTTTCTCTCGTGTCCCATCATATGAGTAACATCTCGGCTCTCACCAGAGCCTAATGGCTGGACGTAATCCAACCCGCCGCGCGGGGCTGCCGCGGCTGCCGCGGGTCCGTCGGAGCGGGGGTGCTGCACGCCGTGCCACTGCCACACGCGCCTCGGCGGCTGCCCCGCGCCCCGCCCGCAGGGCCGCACCGTATAGTTAATAGACATCAGCACTTTCAAGTTGCATTGCTGCTAGCAACTTCTCACTACTACACTGATAACAAAAGTGTGCAACTGGCATGCACATGACGGCGTTCAACGACGCCATGCCATGGCGCAAACTGGAAATCTGATCACTGTAAAGTGTTCAACATAAAATTTGAACACTTTTAAGGGCCATAAGCAGCACGACCAACCCTTCAGTTGGACACTTTCAACTGTGTTATACTAAGCTGTTGAACACTTCCCAGTATTCAAATATCCAGCCGAACGCCTAAAAGTGCGTAACGTAGTGTTGGCACTTGCCACGCTAGTTGCACATTTTCTTTGTGACCCTAGTACTGAAAGAAATCAGTTGGGTCACTCGCTCGAAGCAGAGCCTGACAAAATACAACTCCTACCTGTGACGGACACCGCCGAGAGCCAATCCACCTCCATCATGACGGTGAGCGCTTCAGTGGCCGCTGGGGCTGCGGGTCTCACCGCCGTGACCGCGTCGCCTCGGGGGCTCTGGGGGCGCGGGGTGCCTAGGCGGGGGCGACCTAGACACGAGTCCGCATGATGTCGCACGACTGCGACCCCTTCGTCACGTCGGCGGCGCTGGACTGAGGCCGACGGCGCGGCGGCAGAGCGGCGGCAGGCCAGCGGCAGGCCAGCTACCTGAAGGCGGCCGCGCTCGCGCCTCCCCGCCCCGCCGCACCACACGCGGCCACGGGAGCAGCGCGACGGCCACGGCCCCGCCTCAAAGACCCCGCCCGACCTCGACGACCACCACTCCAACAGTCACCGCCGCATTCTTGCCGGCGGCCACAAAATTTGCGTCTGCAGCGGCGGTCCCAACCCCACCCGCGACCTGCATGAACTTCTGCCCCCTCCCCCCCCCTCCCCCCCGCGGTTCGAACACGGCAGATCACGCCGCCGAAGTTCTTCGCGAATTCCGCGGAGTCATCAGTCCCCCGCCAGTCTGAGGTAGGCCGGCGGCAGCGGGGAGGGGCGCGCCTGCGCCTGTCTGGTCTGGAACGCTGGGGGAAACTCGACCCCGAGCCTCAGCCTCAGCCCTTTAGGCCTTTAGGCAGCACGGCGGGCCGACTGACCACGTGAGCTCGGCACCTGCCGGGATGGGGGTTGTTGGGGGTGGAGGGGGGTAGTCGTGGTGGTGGTGTAGGTGTGTGAGTGTGTGAGTGTGTGAGTGTGTGTGTGTGTGGTGGTGGTGGTAGGGGGGTGCTTTCTGTATGAAGGGTTTCGTTGTGTTTGGCTGTTGTCGCACTGAGTGGCGCATTTGTGACGCTCGTTCAGGGCGAGCCGAGTGATTTATCACTCTCATTTACGGCCCTGAAAACAGTCATCGGTCGGGGCGGGCAGCCGCGGCCCAGCATCGCCAAGCACCGCCCCTCTGCCCTGAGGATGTGGTGGTTGTGGCTGCTGCACTCACACGCCAAGGAAGTGCCCCGCCCCGCCCCGCCCTGTTGACGCGACAAACGCCAAACGTTTGGGGGGTTTGGGGCAACAGCGGACCACGGCCTGGCAGATTCGTACCGCGCATACAGCACAGTAACCTACATAATTATTGTTGTTGAATCAAACATGCAGTTCGCAAGTCCAAACAGGCGGCCGGGAGATGTCACAACACCGAGCGGGAGCACGCTGGCTCGGGCGCTCCGCCCCGCCTCTCCCCACCACACCCCGCCCGCGCGGCGGCCCTCCCCCGCGTCTCGGCCGGCCACCGGCCACCTGACGGCCGCACTATACTCCGTGCCGCTGTGACGCGGCGGCGGGGCCCCGGGCTAGGCCCCGGCGGGGCGGCGCGTGGCGCGGGGCTCGCGTGGCATTGCCTGTGCGCATCCCGCCCGGCTAGCCGGGCTGTGACCGCCTCCGGCCTGGACGACGCCTCCGGCCTGGACGACGCCTCCGTTGGCGCAGTGCGACTCGGCCGCCTCGGCGCCCGTCCCGACAGGGTCGCACTCCAAAGCGACAGCCGAGCTGGTGGCAGACTCGCAGGGTCCTCGCGATGCGCGGGAGAGTGCGCCTCTATTTTAGTGTCTCGGCTCAATCGGCGCGGCGAGCTTCACCTTCAGTTCCGCGATGACCGGGACATGACATGGTCCGCATTGGGACTTCTCCACCGCCGCGAGCGCCCGAGCGCCAGGTGAGCAGCGCGGCTCAGGCGCCTCTCGGGCTCGGGGCGCACCCAGGCCGGCCGCCCCCGCCGCCCTCGCCCCGAGCGGCCTTCGCACAACCTACTTCGCTCTGCCCCAGCCGCGTCGCGACCTCGTTGTGGACGTTCAGTGGAATAGGCCTCTATCTAGAATGAATGAAAGAGAATGGAGATGATAGAAGGTGGATATGTCGACACGATACATACGAAAGCAAAGCAGCAAATAAGTCTGTTTGTGAATTTGACGACGACTTTGTGATTGTGTACTTACACCAGCACAGTGCGCTGGTGACAACCCATGCAAAAAATGTGCCTTTAGGATGTCTCTTTCAGAGACATCACCCAGACCCCGCTGAGGCTATCGCAAGACATCCTACAGACATGCTGAAGCCCCCTCTTTTTTACGGGAAGAACTTTTGACGAGGTGATTAGGTGGTTAGGGGGCTGGGGCTGAGAGAGAGAGAGAGAGAGAGAGAGAGAG